CGTTTGGGGAGGGGGGCAAATGCCCATTTTGCCCCCCCCCTGGATCCGCCACTGAATCAGCGGGGTCTTTCGATTTGGCTGAAAATCGGTGTACAGGGCCTTCTCGATGCGCTGATTCCGAAAATGTACCTCTTTGAGACCTGATATCGATATATCGATACTAAAAAAAACTGCTGTCTAGTCGCGTCAGGTAATGCAGCGATTCAGCAGCTACGAGCCAGATGGTAATTCATACCATGATGGTATGAAAATGGTGTAAACTCTGCATTGGCCATCAGGCACGTACCCAGGATTTCGCCCAAGAGGGGGCCACCTGCTTCCGAAGGGGCCCTTAGGTCACCCGGGGGCCGCCCAGGCGACCAGGGGCCCCCAGGCAGCCAGGGGCCCTCGGGTCCCAGGCAACCAGGGGGCCCATGCGACCAGGCCCCCGCTACCAGGGGCCCCCTTGGCGACTAGGGGCCCCAGGCAATCAGGGGCCCCATGCGACCAGAGGCCCCATGCGACCAGGCCCCCCGGCTACCAGGGCCCCCTAGGCGACTAGGGACCCCAGGCAATCAGGGGCCCCCATGCAACCAGGCCCCGGCTACCAGGGGCCCCTAGGCGACCAGGGGCCCAGGAAACCGGGGGTCCTCGGATGACTGCAGGGGCCCATCGGGTCATCAGGGGCCCCTCGGGTAACCAGGGGCACATAAATGAAACTTTGATATCATTTTTTTCCTAGTAAAATACGTTTTATCCAGTGTTTGAAAAAATATACCGGGGCCTGAGGCCCCCCCCCTTGGGTACGTCACTGTTGGCCATTGTTCATACCCAGCTTTGCCCAAAATTGCAAAGATTGTAAAAATGCGTGATCTCGGAAACTTAGCAAAATCAAATATTTAATTTCGCAGTCAAACCGTAGCTTAGGGGCAATTTACACGCAAATTGAACTCGACAGATTTCTAGATGAGCAGCTGATGGCCCTGCTTAAAGAAAATAGTTCACTTTTAAAATGGGGCTTTAACATAGCAGTGTTGTAGCTTGCGCTGAGAGTAGCACAAATCAGAAGCTTTTACGGCCCAACGATCACCCTAGACGAAGATATACCAACTATTCCATTTCTCCTTCCGAAAATAGTGCCTTGCAGGCAGAGGAATGCGTGCCTTGCTGAGGAATGCAGCCACGTCATCGTCAGCCAATCAGTATAGGTAGGGGAGAGTGGGGTTGTGATGGGCAGGGAAGCCAGCTGTGGCAAGGGTTTTTTCTTCAAACAAGGGTTTCGAGATATAGCCTCGGGCAATTCCTGGAGGTCACGCTGCAACCCTATGTTTGGCGGCTTATAACTCAGAAACTATTGGTTTTCTATGATAAAAAATTTTTTATGCTTTAACTCACAATCAACCAACAAACATTTTGGCTATCTCGGATTTTCAATTTTTGAAAATATTGATCACGTGACCTTTTGACCTATTTTTCAAAGAGTGACCTTGATATTTTCCCCACTGAAAGTTAAAATGTTGTCTGATGACGATTAAAGCCTTATCAATTGTCATTCATATGCGATAATAAAAAGTGGTTATCGCCCTGCGTTGGCCTCAGGTCATGTCATTTTTATGACCTGTCCATTATTACGAGCTTGAGCGACAGCGAGATCTCGAGAACAAAGCAAGATAGCGACAAGCGGTAAACGGTACAGGGTACACAAGTACACACGGATAAGGTCTAGTATCATTTTCAGGTCAGGTCAAAGATGACGTTACAGGGGCAAAAAGGAAGTCAAAATAGCGGCACTACATATATATGAAGTTTTTCTCGAATAACTTTCAAGGTATCCCAGCTAGGAACAAACAAATAGCACCATCGTGATCCTCTCGTCGATCCGCATCAAAACATGTGTATGTTGACCTCGAAAGGTCAAGGTCAAAAGTTGACCTTAGGGCACGTGACCTAAGGTCATTATATACATCATTCGATGCGCCGTGACGAGCTGAGCACAATGAGTCCATTTGCGCATCTGTATCTCAAACCTGTAAGGAGTTATTAGCAAAAAACCTTTGGTGACCTTTAATGATGTCACATTACCTTACAGTTGCCCAAGAGCAAAAAAGGGTCTCCAGGTCAGTGGCGGATCCAGGATATTCACTGGGGAGGGGCTGCAGGTCATAATTGGGCGCCACGCCCCGGATGGGCGCCATAGTCGCATCGTATTGGCGATGAAATATTGGCGCCCAGTGGCCCTGACAAGAGGCGCCCAGGATCAGTATGTACAGTGACACCACAAGATTGGAAATATCGGTGCGGAGCGTACTGAAACGACGTTATTCGACTGATTTTTGCATCCTAGTCCTAGTATGCGGCACTCCGATGAGTTGCGAATTGAAAATTGGCGCCACTGCGCCTTCGGCGCAGTGGCGCCAGTTTTCCTTGGGTGGGGGCTGCCAGCCCCCGCAGCCCCCCCCTGGATCCGCCACTGCTCCAGGTAGGCAAAGTTGATCCTATATGAAGGTCACTCATGGTATATTAGGCGATTCCGACGTGTTTTAGTTTAAAAGTAAACGAGCTGATTTTTCCCCAATTGACTTTTAATGGGACGGTCAAGAAACTGACCTGACCTTAAGCCATCGATATCGAAATTCAAAGCGAACTGGTGCTAGGCCAAAGCAAACACAATGGTGCCTGTTTCACGTCTCTTTCTTTATTAGATCAAAAGGTACAGCCAAAACTATTTTGACTTCCTTTTTACCCCTGTGACGTCATCTTTGACCTGATCTGAAAATGACCTCAGGAAAAATTGTAGAACTTATCCGTGTGTACCCTGTACCGTTTACCACTTGTCGCTATCTTGCTTTGTTCTCGAGATCTCGCTGTCGCTCCCGCTCGTAATAATGGGAAGGTCATAAAAATGACGTGACCTGAAGTCAACGGAGGGCGATAACCAATTTTTTATTATCGCATTTGAATGACAATTGATAAGACTTTAATCGTCATCAGACAAAATTATAACTTTCAGTGAGAAAAATATCAAGGTCACTCTTTGAAAAATAGGTAAAAAGGTCACGTGATCAAGATTTTCAAAAATTGAAAATCCTAGATAGCCAAAATGTTTGTTGGTTTATTGTGAGTTGAACCACATTAAGTTTTTATCGTAGAAAATCAATAGTTTCTGAGTTATAGGCCGCCAAACATATGACTGCAGCGCGACCTCCAGGAATTGCCCGAGACTATATATCTCAGAAACCATTGTTCGAAGAAAAAAATCCTTGCCACAGCTGGCTTCCCCGCCCATCACAACCCATTACACCAATTTTAAGCAAAAAATAAAATATGAGGGTGCAGGGCACTTGTCGATTTGTCGTGGAACGCCCCTGGTGTTTAGTAAACAATTTTAATAACAATCATCAAAACAATATTTTTCGACCCGGCCACTACGTATCTATAACTATGATTGCCGATTGGTCAGCGCGTACCCGGAAGCTTCTGCTTCCGCGTCAAACAATATTGTATATAGAATAAAGTTCTTCCTATGTTAAAATACCTATAATTTATAAAACTAATATTTTATAAAAAGATTTTATTTCTTGCTGATAATTTTGAGCATGAAAGTCAAAATCCATTGCAAAAACAACTTTTTTTCGGGAAAGTGAACTATTCCCTTTAACGACACGTTATCGTTAGTAGAGCTTTTAGCGCTTTCGATTTCAATAGAAATGCCAAAATCCTGGGACAGTCACGACTCACGATGTATTATGTTGATGTTTCTATCTGTAAGAACTAAGAATCTTGGATGTTTCCATTTTCCACGGAAACCGTTTCTAGCCGCTAGTAGCGAGAGGCGTGCCATTCTTAATTGTTAGACCCGGGCACGGTCCCGTTTCATGGCCCTCGCCCCGTTTCAGGATCAGGAGACATAGCGGGTGCTTTTAGAGTTTAGACAAACGCTTATCCGCTCCCCGTCGGTGCGTGGGTTGAATGTTTACAGACACTCCACTCACCAGTCACTGCAAGACACCGCGTCCCGTGCTGCACTTCCGGCGTTTACATCCAAGATGGCGTCATTTCGCTAATATTAACGTGTGAGACTTGTTCATAGCAGTTCATGGTAATTCATGGCTGATCGTATTTACCGGCGCATACATAATTAGTTTCCTCAAGCTGCATTTGAAAAAAAAACCTGATCGATTCAATCGCTGAGCTGCTGCCGCCGCCGCAGTCGCCGTGTGCTTGTCCGCTGCTTTGTTGCTTGGCGAGTGGCGACAAAGCGTGTAAACTTTGTATACGTGTGTACCTATGTATTCAATGTCATGGCCGCGAGCAGGACTCTAACTGGCCTGTAAAACTGTCATTTCTTTTTTATCATCAGCGTAAGGCCAATGTAAGGCAATCAATGCACAAATCCAAGTTGGATTTGTGCATTGATTGCCTTACGTTGGCCTTACGCTGATGATAAAAAAGAAATGACAGTTTTGGGGGAGTCCACAGGCTTTACCCAAAACCCTTTTATCGCTCGGCTTGCTGACCTGCGCGCAGTGACGTCACTCATGCACGCAACCTCGCGGGGTGGGGCGCGGCGGCGCGTCCTTTCGATGACCGGTCACGAGAGCAACCGCGGGTGTGTGCGCATCCCAACGCCTCCCCTTCAGCCGCCCTATCTCTGCATATTGATAGTGTGGTCTTGATTAGATACGGCTTACTGTTATTCATTATATACTTCGCTTTCGGAAGGTATTTGTCTGTGTTTTTTTCTTTTATGTTCTGTAAGGGCTGGTCACCTCACAAAGTCTGGTGACTGGTCGCGTGGGCACATGTTACAGGTAAATATAATCCCGTTATCACACGACATTCTTTCGAAGGAGCAGCGAGTCGGCGATAAAAAAGAATGCAGCCGCCTGTCGCAGAGGCCAGTGTCAGCCATTTAGCATGCAGCTGGTTTTGAACTACGCAATATGATAGATCAACGCATAATAAGCTTCCGCGGCAAACACTACTTTGGATGGAATTTAGTCCTTCCTTTATAAAAAACGTTATTGAGGAAAGTGGTATATTTCCTTTAATAGCATACGAAGTTCAGATATCACATCAGATATGCTTCCCTCTACATACAGCGTTACCTAAACAAATTCGAAATTTACAGCGCAGTGTTCAATTTCACCGTTTTTAAGTTTTAACGGTTAGGTAGGCATTTGAAATACACAGTGTACAACATGGAAACAACGTCATGGCCTGAGACAAGGAGACATGACTTGATCTGACCAGTTTGCTCGGGGAAGGGCGCTAGTAATGCCAGTTAAGAAACATCAATTCACACAGGAAGCTAAAGGCAGCCTCTTTCGCAAGGCAGCTTAGTGAAACGAATCAGTTCCCAGAACAAGCCTCAATGAAAAAACATCCTAAGCCTCATTCTATGAAGCGCTGCATCACAAGTATCCTTGCGCTTTCGCCTGCTCTGGCAGGGCTTTGATAGCTGCAACTGCGCGGTGCGCCTCGACCGTCGGAACAGTTCTGTACATCCAAGTCTGGCGAGTACTACTCAACTATCGGGTGCACTGCACAGATAGTAGTCAGTTACTGAATGGTGCACCACCCCGAGCTTGACTCCTCGGCAGCCTCCGCCTCTTTTGTCATTGTCCGTAGTTTCTCTTGAACCTTTTTCATTTCCTGCTTGTGTCGATGGGCGCTCAAGTACGAATGCAGTTCACGCTGCATATCAACTTTCATGTACTCCAGGTAACCATCTGCGATACGCTCGTCACCCTCTTTGAGCGACTTGAATGTATCCACGGCAGCCGTCATTGACTTTTCGTGTAGCTTCTGAAGTTCCTTGACGGTCAGCGCCTCGCTCTCTGTCATAACGCTCATCATGGAATGGTAGACCTTTCTGGCATTGGCCACCGCCTTCATATTCGCGTGTGCCGCTTTGTAGTTCTTTTTTCTCACATCATTGTTGAAGAGCATTTGGCGAAACTCGCTGTCGATTTCATGGTTTAGGGTATGCTGGCTGTCCTTTTCGATGCCTTCAAAGATTGCCTGTTCTTCTTTAAACTGATCCAATGCCTTCCCCCTGGCTTCCTCGTGCGCGCTGTTAAGTTCCTTCAGAGACGCAAAGCTCGCGTCTTCGCCGACGAGATGTTCCATTGTTTTGATGTAGGTCATTTTGCAGGTCCGCACGAGTCCCATGTTGTACTTTTCTGCATTGAGCCGCTCTTTTTGACGCCTTGTGTTGTTTGCCAGCTCAACAAACTTGTACCAGTCTTCAATGTCCTCTATCAGTCTCAAGCGATACTTCTCTGATAGTTTCCAGTCGCTCATTTTCTTGCGATCGGTAAATGCCTTCATGGCCTTTTCTGAAGCTTTCAGGTGTTTCGCCAAAAGCTCGGCCTGGCTCAGTGAAGGATGCTCATCACTCTTCAGGCGTTCCATTTCTTTGATGTACTGCATCTTAGCGTCTTGTGCTGCCGCCACATTGTTGGCCTCGGCGGTGGCTTGCATGATGTTCGTCGGTTTTGGCAGTTTGTCACTCTGGAACAGGCCTGCGTAACTCTCAAAGAAAGTGTAAAGCAGGCGGGCTGTGACTGAGTTGCCAGCAATACTCTTTACTGTCATGTTTTCCGGTGCCAAAATCTGAGGCATCAGCTCGTTGAGCTTATCGACAATTTCGGGGTCCATCTCTGCGCTACTGCCGGTGAAGTTTGGACTCATGGTTACAACCTGTCCCGGGTATGGCAACAGGAATCCTTCGATCTGGCCAAAGCACCCTCGGATGTGCTTTCGTACATCATCCAACTCCTTTTTCCCAGATGGAGTATCCAGCCACTCCTTGACCAGCTTGTTGCCACCTTCAGCACCCAGAGGAAGATAATGAACGTGTTGCCAGTCCCTGACCAGAATCAGCAACTTTTGGAACGGCTTGCTGCTGGTGTCTTCCAACGCTAGTCGGCCGTACTCAGTGAAGAGCTGCAGGTGCTCCAAGTCATCGTTCTGCAAATTTCCAGTGATGTTGTAGATTTGAAGAGAACTGAGCAGCGTGCTAAGTGCAAAGACAGTTGACGACTCGTGCACGGTAGACGTGTTGTCGAAGGTCCCCTGTGTGTCCATGAGCAGGATGACCGCCTCTGTGCCGTCTGATAGGGTTACTGGGATCGGCTTTGGCCACATCAGGATGCCAGTGGTGTGTCTGCGAAACCCACTCCGCCACGGAAAGCCCCGCTGGATCTGCTTGTCGTGTATCCAGTTGGGCTTATCGGACGCTGTAAGGTATCGCAGCATCATGTCCAAGAGGAAAGATTTTCCTTTGCGGAATGCCCCAGCGACTGAGATGACTACGACAGGCTTGTCCCTGATGTCGTCAGCGAAGAGGATGCTCTTCAGATTTTTGGAATCCAGCACGAAGCCTTCTTTGCCGCTGGCAGCAAGAATTTGCATCGCCTCTGGCGTCGCGTAGTTCTGAAAAGGATAAACCAGTTGTGTCACAATAAACCGATGTAATGTTACAAAGCAAACCGTATCTACATATATTGCACAGTATCTGCCGTAACACGAACGAGCGAAGCGAGCGAAGTCTTACATAGAATAGCAGAAATTCATGGGTATGAGCAGCCGGCCGTGAGGACGTTTTTGCGAAGCTATTTCTCCGCAAGCACTGGACCGATTTACTCATGCGGTAATTTTTGTAGGGTAGCTTCACTCCTTATATACGAGTACAAGCATCGGACTATTTCCGATGCATGTGGGTGACTCTTGTGCACGTGCCACGTGCAAAACGAAGAGGTGTCAGATTTGTAACAGTTGCAATATCTCGGTAACTATTGGGCCGTTTGCGCTGAAGCTTGGCATGTAGGTCACCAGACATAAAACGCTGTACGTATCAACACGAAACTTACAGTACCTACCTTCGACTGCATCAGTGCATCAATGTCAAACCTTGTTTGTTTCCAAAGGAAAATTTTGTAGCTACCACAGCTCAGTTGGAAATGACGTCAGAGAGACGTAGATTTCGAGTCGCAGGAGATTGCCGTGTCTCTCGCCATCACATACAGCCCGAAAGACGCTGCAGCCGCTCCATGACCTTTTCGGTCGCGGCGCAATCTCCAGGGGAAGCGAGAAGCAATCCTGACCTCAACCCGCTTGACTACTGGTTTTGGGGAGCCTGCAAGGACAGCGTCTACCGCAACAAGCCCAGAAGCCTGGAGCGGCTGCGTCTCAGCGTCGAGCAGTACGTGCGTGTTGTGCCAGCAGGCACCGCAGAGAGGGTGGGCACCAGTTTCCTGGAACGTGTTCAGACGTGCCTTGAGGTGCCCACTTCGAGCACATACGCAAATAAAAGACACACAGATCCTTTTTTCAATGATGGTGGCAAATCAGTTCAATTGAAATATGTCCATAAAATGGGTACGATATAATTAGTCAACCATTTTCTTTAAGTTGTGAAAGTTTCTTGTTCGTATCTTTTACCACTTTCAAGAAATTACTGCTGAAAAGTGACACACTTTTTGGCCAAATTCCAACGAAATTTGCCGGACATCAATTTTTCGCCATATCTGTTCTCATAGTTTTATTTCTGATGTAAGAAGCGGGAAAATTGAATGAATGCGTCAGACAACGGTACCGGTTCACAACTCAGAAGTGACCTGATCTTGTGAGGTGACCTTTAGGGTAATCTTGACCTTTAGGTACTCTGAGTAACGGCCGAGTCACCGCCGGGTTCACTTGGCAGTTTCGTCCAAGGCAATGACGAGGAAGGAGTACAGTCTCTCTTGTAGCAAAATTGCATGAATTGATGGTGGCATGGCGGCATCCATGGCAGTATGAGCCATAAAATGGCTGAGACATTCGCGAAAAATACAGGAAGGGGGGGGGGTCATCCCCCCAGCGGGACGGGGTTAACCCGCGCCCCGTAGGGGGGGGGGGCGAAACGGCCCCTCCCTGACCTTTTCGGTCGATATCTCCTAAACGGCTGGAGATATCGCCACCAAACTTTCAGGACCCCTCCGGGCATCAATTTTACACATTGTGACCAAAAATTTTTCCAGAGGCTATGATAGGTTGGCCACAAATGACGTCAGAGTGACGTCATGTTCTGTCATTTTCGACCGAAAAAAGACCTTCGCGAGAAGACCTGTCAGGACTACAGCTTTGAAGATACAGAAAAATGATCAAGACATAAAAGGTGTAGAATTGACAGGGCTAAAAAACTGCTATCTCGAATTTTTGAAATTTTTGAGTTTTGACCCCCAAAAATCAAAAAAGCATTTTTTGGATATATTCGCCAAAAAATCCAAAAAGTTTTTTGAGTTTCGAAAAACCCGGAATATATGTGATAGTGCCTACCGTCTTCTATCTACATACCAAATTTCAGATCGATACCTCGTTTTTTGGCCAAGTTATAGCGAAAAAACTGTTCAAAAATGATGACGTTAAATTTTCAAACTCAATTTTTGGCAATTCTAGAACTCGTAGAGCAAAACGAAGACCACCATTAGACTCCCCGTGACGAGCTGCATCGAATCGATACCCATTTTATGCAAAAATATCAACTTTGAAATTTGACCTAATTTGACCTGACCTTGACCTGACCTTCACAAAAACGTGACCTAGGCTGGTCCCAAAGGCTGCCTAACCCACATAATCGCATTTGTCATGTAAAATGGACCATAAAACATGTATCACACGACACATTCATATTGTGACCCCCGGTGACCTGACCTCGCTGTGACCTGACCTGGTATCAGTGATCTCAGATAGCAAAGTATGTGTTTGACGAACAATGTACCATCGATGGTTTTCAATAAATTACCAATTTACTCGCTTTCACAGCACATTTCTTGAATTGCCTGTGAACGGTGAAAATCTGACCTTTGACCTGACCTGTGACGTCATCGGTTTGACCTAGGTCAATGAAATTTGGTCACAAGGTAGTTCCCGGGTGGGGCTATCGAACGCCGTTTGAATTTTGAAAATCGGCCGGTAACTTTCCGAGATCTTAGGGGGGGCCGAAACGGCCCCCCCCCCCCTACGGGTGGTAGGGTCCGCCGGTAGCCCTACGGGGCGCGGGTTAACCCTCACCCGTTCTGACCTTTTCACAGCGTCTAACACAAAACAGCATGATGTTACTGGTTACTGAGACAGAAGCAGCCGACCAAGGTAATTGTCTGGGTCATAATAAACTTCAATGGCCTTTCAAACCTCTACAGCATGCCCGTTGCAAAAAAAAAGAATTCTGCCGAAAGGGAGTGTTAAGGACACGTCGGCATCAGCCCATTCGGATAAACGATAAATGGACCCTGTATCACAGCGCACTGTTAGCGGCTTCTAGAGCTACTAGCGCATTCGATTTCTATGTAAAAATCTAAATTTCATCGTGAGCGTCCATTTTGTTCACGTTTCCATAGAAACCGAAAGCGTAATATTTGTTGTGACCTTTTCCTCGAATTGAGAAGTGTAAAAAAGTCGAAAGTGATGTATTCTAATGGGTGAATTTTCGCATCGTCAGCGAAGCAAATAGCATTGAGCAAACATGTACAATCAAGCATCTTGCAGTTGACGAGCCATAAATGTCACATTCAGTTGATATTTTTAAAGCTTTACGCAGGCTTTACGTGAGAGCCCACTGTAAGTCCCTCTCATAAAAAGTTCAAAAGTTGTTCAAAAAGCTGTTTACAGTGAGGGTCGAATTTAAAAACATAGTAGTGTTTTCAGGTTCCATGGAAACATAAGCAAACTTCCCTGATACGTATAATGTGTATATCTCGTTTCATTCTGACATCTGCCCGTCTTTTAGTACAACGTCTTTTATACACATTATACGTATCAGGGAAGTTTGCTTATGTTTCCATGGAACCTGAAAACACTACTATGTTTTTAAATTCGACCCTCACTGTAAACAGCTTTTTGAACACAGCACGAGAATCACTGCCTAAACTACAGAGAAACCTGGTTAGCGCACACTGTATTGGAGATGTGAATAATATTTTCAAAAGAAAAGTTTTGAACACTCAGGTGTACCGTTATGTTAAACGCCGTGCGATTTGTTAATTAGTCCAGTTATCATTCTTGACAAATCGTCTATGGTCAAATACGAGCTGAGAGTCGGGGAAAATAGGAGCCATGAGAAAATATTTTGATAAATTCGATCGTCAGTGAAATTAAATGTGCGCCAACCAGTTTTCTCAGTAATTCAGCAAGCATTTCTCGTGCCATGTTCAAAAAGACGTTAACAGTGAGGGTCGAACTTGAATAAAACGAACTATAGCACTATAGTTCGTTTTTTCGAAGTTCGACCCTCACTGTAAACGTCACTTTGAACACAGCACGAGAATTGGTATGCTGAATTACTGAGAAAACTCGTTGGCGCACAATGATTTCGCAGACGATCAATTGTATCAAAATTATTTCTACCTGGCTCCTTTTCCCACACTCTAAGCTCGGTATTTGCAGCCCCACAAGGATCGAGGACTTGTCAGAAACTAGGAAGTATAAGTGAACTAATAAATCGCACGGCGTTTAACGTAACAGTATATCATCGGTGTTAGAAACTTATTTTGAAAATAATAATTCATATCTCCAATACAAAGTGCGCTAACCAGTTTTCTCAGTAATTCAGCTAGCAATTCTCGTGCTGTTTCCAAAAAGATGTTTATAGTGAGGGTCGAACTAAAAAAAAAACTAACTATATAGGCAGTAGCCCCTATATGTAGGTAGTAAGCGTGCCATGAAAAAGGGCCAAGGTTTTGTTTTCAACCCTGGCGCACTTCTCAGACATATTCTGTGCACCGCAGTGCTCTCTTGCTTACCTGCGCCATGGCGGGGTCGCCGGCGGTGTACCGCCGTGCTGCGCCACACTGCAGGGTCACTGCGGTGCGTCAGAACTGGTGCCGCTCCTCTCGGTCGGATGTCCCGGCGTGAAGTGTTGGGCGGCCAGCGGCCGACGTCAGTCGCGATTCCCGGACGGCCTCTGGGAG